TCCCAATAAGTTCTGTTGAAATCTCACGCTGTTGTCAGGAATCAGTGTTATCCTGGAACTGTTATTCTTCTGTTTAATCTTCATTATAGCAGAAATGTTCCAGCGTGGCTTTGACATGGTGGCAGGTATTGTCTTCCAGGCTTCAAAGCTGCATAGTCTACCCTTTAGAGAGTTGGCACCTTTGATGTGGCTAGTGAGCTGATCATCCACTTTCTTCTAAAATAAAGAGAAGAAAATGGGCAGTATTCATGCTGTCCTCTTTCCCCATTCCTTGATAACTCGCTTGTCTTTACTGGGAGGCTGGAGAGCCACAGTCTAGTAGAAGAAAGGTAAGAATGTGCTTCTTCCATAGGGGAGAGTATAAGGGGAATAAATAAGTTTAATAATTCATTGGTGATCATTAAATAGTAAATACATGGGATTAGTAGTGCTGAAAATAGGAAAAACTCAGACCTGTTTGGCGTACTAACAGTGAATGGGCCTACTGGTATCGGTTAACAAGTATTAACCGCACATAAAAGACAAATAAATGCCTGATTTCAGTGCTACTCCTATTGCTCATCTATTTTGTTAGCATTAATATTTCTATACCATAAACTACTATATTTCCAAGTCTTATTTACAGATGGGAAAATCACAAAGAATGAATCTCACTAGTGAACAATGGTTCAGCACAATTGGAATGATTCAGGGAAACTCATATTTCAAAGTGACAGACTCAGATGGCTCTTACAAAATATAAATACTAAATATGTAAAGTGATAATTATACTGAAATTATATGGAATGAAGTTGTATAAGTTGAAGTCTTTACCTCAGTCACCATGATTTTCAGTTCCTTTGTGCTGGTGAGCATCAATTTCTTCATAAATAGCTCTGAAACAAAGCCATCACAGCAAAAGGGTTATATATCAATTTCAAAGTGCTATTTTCGTTTTTAACTGCCAGCACCGTAATTAAAAATTGAGCTGTTTTTGGAGTTCCGGCTATATATGAGTTAAAAATAAGTTTCTGCCCTGAAGTGTATATTCTAGTTTTGTTAAATTCTAATGTTGCACTTCCTTTTTTTTTTTTTTGGAGACAGAGTCTCACTCTTTTGTCCAGGCCGGAGTGCAATGGTGCTTTCTTGGCTCACTGCAACATCTGCTTCCCGGGTTCAAGTGATACTCCTGCCTCAGCCTACTGAGTAGCTGGAATTACAGGGACATACCACCATGCCCAGCTAATTGTTTTGTATTTTAAGTAGAGACAGGGTTTCACCATGTTGGCCAGGCTGGTCTCAAACTCCTGACCTCAGGTAATCTGCCTGCCTCTGCCTCATAAAATGCTGGGATTACAGGTGTGAGCCACCAAACCCGCCCTTAATGTTGCAATTCCTATGCCTCTTAAAAGTATGTATTTTATAGAACCAATTAATTTTTTATTGTGATTTAAATGAGAAATATGGCTCAAATTTGGACAGTTTATGTTTTGCTTAAAAAAGTCTTCAGTTCTTCTGGTTTCAAACATTTTTTTAAAATATTAGGACAAGTGTAGTGGCTCACACCTATAATCCCAGCATTCTGGGAGGCTGAGGTAGGTGGATCGCTTGAGTCCAGGATTTCAAGACCAGTCTGAACAACATGGCAAAATACCATCTCTACAAAAAATATAAAAATTGCCAGGTGTGGTGGTACAGGCCTGTTGTCCCAGGTACTCAGGAAGCTGAGGTGGGAGGATCACTTGAGCCTAGGAGGTGGAGACTGCAGTGAGCTGAGATCCTGCCACTGCACTCCAGCCTGGGCTACAGAGCAAGACTAAAGGCGTCTTCCAGCTTATTTAACCTATGTGATTATAGTCCAGACTCCTCAGCCACCTATAGCTCATCACTGTCATTTCTGTACATTTTTTATATTGTATTTTTTCAATGACATCCTTCATTCGTTTTTCTTTTTCTTTTTTTGTTTTTGAGACAGGGTTTCACTCTGTCACTCAGGCTGGAGTGCAGTGGTGCAATCATGACTTATTGCACCTTCAGCCTCCCAGGTTCAAGTGATCTTCCCATTTCAGCCTCTCAAAATGTTGGGATTAGAGGCATGAGCCACCATGCCAGGCCCATTCAGTTCTTTATATGTATCTTACGTATGTCTGTAGCTGGAAAATATCTATAACTGAAAGCACATTCATATATACAGTATAGCAAAACATGGCTGAGGAAAAATCTCAAAAATCACAGCACTGTGAAACCATGATCACCAAGTTCATAAGGCCCCAGAATGGTCCTACAATTTTAATGTTTCCCTTAAAAGTTTGGTCTCATCTCCCTCAAAACGATTTCAGTCTTCTTCACTCTCCTCAAACCTCTGACCTCTCTGGTAGAAACATCATTCTTAATGTCTTGATATGGAAACTTTCTCATTTTCCCATCACTAAATCTTCAAGTTTATCTTCATCTGTATTGTCCGTTATTTCTGTGATCCTGTCTATTCCTGGCTTCTGAAGTACTTCACCCAGTTATTCTCCCCTTTCTGAGTCTTCAACCTCTCCTTCTATGCCAGATCCTATTCTTTGACATTCACAGATTCTCCAGCATCTTCCATATCTCCCATTTTATACAAAGTACAGTCTTTAATTCCATCTCTACTTGTAGTAAATGCCTTGGTATCCTCTAGCTACCAAACTCTCCCCACCCCACCTTTTTTTTTTTTTTTTTTTTTGAGGTAGAGTTTCACTCTTGTTGCCCACGCTAGAGTGTGATAGTGTGATCTCAGCTCACTGCAACCTCTACCTCCTGGGTTCAAACAATTCTCCTACCTCCTTCTCCTGAGTAGTTGGAATTACAGGCACCCGCCACCATGCCTGGCTAATTTTTGTATTTTTAGTAGAGACAGGGTTTTGCCATGTTGGCCAGGCTGGTCTCGAACTCCTGACCTCAGGCGATCTGCCCACCTTGGCCTCCCAAAGTGCTGGGATTATAGGCATGAGCCACCGTGCCCGGCCCAAAACCCATTTTCATCACTGCTTCTCATTTAAGTTCTAAGAAGTTATCTGCACTTACTGTGTCTACTTAATGTCTTATGTGCTTTTCAAATGCACTGAAATTTGGGTTCTGTATCCATCAGTCCATCAAAGTAGCTTTACTAAAATCATCAAGTGATCTCTAATCCATTATCTAGTTTTCAGTTCTCATCTTACTTGTCTGCCCCTAGCAGTGTTCTTCACAGTTGTACTCACTTCTGTTTGCTTCCAAATTACAGTTTCCTCATCTGGTACTGAGCTCCCTGTTAACTTTCTTTACTCTTGCCTTTAGCATTTCCATTTCCTTGAATGTGCCAGAACTCTGTCCTCTGGGTCTTTGTACAGGTTGTTCCTTGAGCCTACAATATTCACTTCCAAACTTTTAAACTAAGAATTGCGGGCCTCAGCTTTTAATGCTACCTGAAGCTTTCTTTAACCCCTATTTAAATTAGTTCTGTTACACACTTTGAAGTTGCCATATTCTTTCATAACATTAACACAAATTGTAAACCTGTATTTGGTGATTTGTCTAATTTCTGTATCCATGCTACATTTAATCTCTGTGAGGATAAGGGAGCATGTTTCTTGCTCAAAATTATAAATTAGTCCAGTCATAGTCCCTGGCACATAATATTGAAATAAGTGAATCGTGTATATCTTCATAAACATACTGTTTGTCCTGGTAGAGCAAAAATTGTCAACCTGCAGTTCATGGACAACCAGTGATGTGAAAAAACCCAGTAATTTCCTCCAAGATTCTGTGCTTTTCCTTGGAGAGAAGTCCCTGAATTTCATGGGACTTTCAAAAGAACTGAGACATTCTGACCCCCAGAAAGAAAGACCCATCACAGGGATAAAGAGTTCCAAAGCTTCACCTCTCCAGCTTTTTACTATCTCTCCCACCTCCAGTCTCTGTGACACTGCCATATCTACATACAGCAATCTCCTAATTTGAATAGAATCAAGAAATTTTCCACTACCTATTTGGATGGAGAAAAAACAAGTTTCTAGAAAGCATACCTAGTTTAGTGCTAGTTTCTTAAACCACTAATATGATCAGTAATATATCTGTTCTATCAGGCAGCATGACTTAGAGAAATTTCTCAAACCTGAGTTAGGAAAAAGTACATAGTGGACTCCTAAGTCCCTTAACCATCTGCTCATAAATTAAGTCAACCATTACATTGAGGGATTAAACCAGGGACCATAATACCAAATGTCTTCACATGTCAGCCAAAGAGGAGATGCAGAGGGTTGGTTGGGGCTGTAAGCAGATAGGAAGGGTCTCCAGGGACTATAGGAATATAATCAACTTGATTAATCACCTACTTTTTTCCCCAAACCCTGTGTGGAATGCAGCCAGCTAGCTGGTTTAAACCAGCTCATGACAGACCTCAGAAATTTACAGATGGATCCCAGTATACTTGCTTCATTACCATAACATGTGACCTGTGTGCTGCAATAACTCACTGCATCTGTACAACTGCAACCCCTCTCCATACAATAACATACCCTCTTCCCTATCACCCCATAAAACCCTCCTGTCACTTTCCTGCTTTGGAGACTATGCCCAGTGGTTTATTTGTGACAAGTAATAAAACTATTGCTCAAGGCCTACATTCTTGGTTGGTTATAGTGGCTCATGCCTATAATCCCAGCACTTTGGAAGGCTGAGACAGGAGGATTGCTTGAGCCCAGGAGTTCAAAACTAGCCTGGTCTACATAGACCCCCTTCTCTAAAAAAAAAAAAAAAAAAAAAAAAAGGCTGGGCACGATGGCTTACACCTATAATCCCAGCACTTTTTGGGAGGCTCATGCTCAAGTTCAAGGTAAATGAACTTGAGACTGAGAGTTCGAGACCAGCCTGGGCAACATGGCAAAACCCTGTCTCTACTAAAAATACAAAAAATTAGCCAGGCGTGGTGGTACCTGTCTGTGGTCCCAGCTACTCAGGAGGCTGAGGCATGAGAATTGCTTAAGCCTAGGAGGTGGAAGTTGCAGTGAGCCAAGATCACCCCACTGTACTCCAGCCTGATAGAGTGACACTCTGTCTCAAAAAACTGAATTAGCCAGGCATGGTGGCGTGCCCCAATAGTCTCAGCTACTCAGGAGGCTGAGTAGGGAGGGCTGCTTCAGCCTCATAAGTCAAGGCTGCAGTAAGCCATGATCATGCCACTTTATTCTAGTTTGAGTGACACAGCGAGACCCTGTCAAGAAAAAAAAATAACCTGTGTTCTAATGGAGGGTTGTCTGTTACTCACCAGATGAATGAATCTCAGGTTTTTTTAGGGGTAACAAGTCCGGCACCCCAGATGGGACCCAGCGTTGAGCCCTGACTTGACCTCCCTTATAGGCTCCTGGCAGGCAAAGCAGTGGGCTGTGGAAGCATGCCTGGGCCAACTCATCTCGGTTGCCAAGAGGGAGACTAGAGAAAGGCCTTGGGACCCCCGAACTGGTGTCTAGTGTAGGCCACTAACCAGCACCACAAGATCTCTCTGGGAGAGTAGAAGTGGCTGCCTAGAGTCCAGACCTTTTGCTCAGTGCTCCTTCGAAGCAGCAGCTCCATGAACTACTAAAAGAGTGGTCTGGGTTTTGATCATTCGGATTCTGGGTTGTCAGGATTAGGACCTAGGTCAAGGGATCCAGGATTGTTGAGGAGAAGAACTTCCTCCTTTCAGGTCTGGGAGTCAGAGACATCGCCATCGTTTTAACAAGGGGAATCCCCAACATAAAGACAAGGATGCTTGTCTTTAGTTGATCCCTATCTGGTATGACTGTAGGGCTCGATATTCTTCCTTGTCTGTGGCCTGAATGAATATGAAGTCTGGATTCCTCTACCCTTAGTTTGTGGCAACCCCTAAAATATCAGGCTTTGTTTTGCAAGCAGTCACAGAAGGACTGCTATTGGTTTGATGAGGAGACCAACTTTCAAAGGGGGGCAGTTTTGGTGGGATCATGATCCCTGGAACCAGAATGCAGTGATACAAAGGTGATGTGAACAGAGTGTGTGCGCTTTCTCTGAGGAAACACCTCACTTGATTGATTTACCTACCTCCCCACCACCTGAGCTGGATCCAGAACTACTTCAGTGTCTCCATGAGATCTCCTGGGAGGCTGCCCGGACTGAACATGATCCAGGGAAAGGAAATCACTGTTACACTCTCAGCTCCCCAGGACCTCCACTCCAGATGGCTTTGCATAGTGGCAAGCAAAGAGGACCACAAGTATTCAAGCTGAGTTGTGGGATTTGTGTTATCATTAATCTCCAGAGTTTGGAAGCCCCTCAAACTCTGTGCAGAGACCCTAGGATGTGGTGAACCAGGTCTTGGAAGGAGAGCTTGTTAGGGTGCCTCCTCTGGCAATGGAAACTGCCTATCAGCTCATGACCAAAAAGCAAATGATATATTACTGTAATAGAGCCTGGCCCCAGTATTCCCTAGGCGATCAGAAGAGATGGTCTGAACATGGGTCACTTACTACAATTCTCCAATTGGACTGACTTTGCAAGAAATACGGTAAATGGGAAGAAATACCCTATATGCAATGTTTTATGGCCCTCTATCAAAACCCTGCCCTGCAGATGAAATGCAGAATATGTAAATTGGCCAAAGGGAACTATACTGCCAATTCTAGAAGCCTCTGGAGAGGAAGCACCGGTCATGTGGGGGCCTGTAGGAAAGGGAACAAGAAGAGTCCCTTTATTTCCCTCTCCAAGAGAAGTGAGGCCCTCTAACTCTACTCGGGGCCTGGTACCTTGACCAATACAGGGGAATAGTCCACCTTCTTCCTTGGGAATGGTGCTCTCAGCACCTCCAGGGGAAAGCAAGGGCCCGTTATGTATTTGCTGGGCCTTCCAAACTCTGCAGAGCCAGCAATGGCTCCTGCTATGGCAATAGCAGCCTCCCCCCACCCCCCGCTGTACTCTTCTTTGCCAGGGAGCACCACTCATAGTGGGAATGCATATAACCCTGGAGGGTGACTGTTCCCACTCAGAGCGTGTCTGTTGGAGAAAGAGGTTTTGCTCGGGTCTATGTTTTTTAAAACTGTTGACTTGTATAACTGGAAATCCCATAGTAAGGGCTTACGGGTGAGCCCACAAGAGTTCATAACTCGCATATGGAGAATATTCTCCACACATAACCCTGCCTGGCCAGGTGTGCAGACCTTAACAGCAACCCTGCTCACAGCAGAAGATAAATCTGCCACCATGGCCAAAACTGAGGAGGAGGCAGACAATATGTGTGCTGATAACCTGGTGACCTGTCCTGTTGAGGTGTCGGTCCCAATAGCTAACCCAAACTGGGACCCCAATGATGACAAGAATCAAGAGTGGCTTCATCATTATAGGAATATGCTTCTCAGAAGTATGAGAGAAGCAAGCCAGCCCCTGGTCAATTGGGGAAATCTCAGAGAAACAGAACAAGGCCCTAATGAAAATCCATCAGCATTCCTAAATTGATAATAAGAATGCCTCCAGAATTACACCCCTTGGGACCCAGATGACCCAAAAGCTGAGTAGTACTTTAATCCCACTTCATCTCTCAGCCCCAGATATTCAGAGAAAACTCTAAAAATTGGCAATAAGTCCACACACTCCCCCTTTCCAACTGGTAGACATCTCCTTTAAGGTCTACAGTAAAGAGATGTGGCAACTGATGAAAAAGAGGACAAGAAGATGCAGCAGCCCTACAGACTACTTCAGGAAAACCAGGAAGAAGATGGCATGAGTGAGTGACCAGGGCCCCGCCATGGAAATCAGGGCCTGCCTACACTGAGGCCCAAACAATGTGCTTACTGGAAGCAGAAAGGATGCTGGGAAAGGGAATGTCCAAATCATCCCCAGAGAGGGAAGAAAGAGGACAAGCCTGAGGTACCAGTTCCCTGTAACTGGACAAGAAACTGATGGATGGGGCCATGGGGCTCCCTGCCTGGCTCCTCAAAACAAGATCCACATCTCCCCCCCAGGTTACACAGAATAAGGGGGGCAGCCAGTTGGGTTTTTAAATTTTTTTTAATTTTTCTGAGACAGAATCTCTTACCCAGGCTGGAGTGCAGCACCATGATCATGGCATACTGCAGCCTCCAACTAGGCTCAAGCAGTCCTCCCACCTTAGCCTCTCAAGTAGCTGGACTAAGGCACACCTGGCTAATTCTTTTTGTTTGTTTGTAGAGACAAGGTCTCGTTATGCTGTCAGGGCTGGTCTTGAACTCCTGGGCTCAAATGATCCTCCAAACTTGGCCTCCCAAAGTGTTGGCATTACAGGCATGAGCCACTACACCTGGCCACCAGCTGAGTTTTTGATCAACACTGTAGTCATGTTTTCTGTGTTGATCACTAAAAGTGGACCCTATCCAGGAGGGAATGTATATAAAGGATGTGTCTCATAAAGGATATAAAAGATTCTTGGAGCCTCCGGTCCATGAAATCATATCTAAAACTTTGACTCATTCTTTCTTCTGTTCCCCAAATGTCCCATTCTCCTTTTGGACTTCTAAGTTTGGAGCCACAATTTCTCTAAATCAGGACAGGATAGAGAGGTGTTCTGAGCCCATGGCACTGCCATGCTAGCCCTAGTTCCTGGGGAAGTTCCAAACTTGGGACCTCATAAGATTCCTTGGCTAATGTGGTACTAGATAACTGTATAGCCTCTTAGCAGTAACAGGGAGGAGACTGTGCAGTTATTAATTCCTCTTGCTGTACCTGAATAAATACCTCAGGGGAAATAGGAAGTTAACATTAGGAAGGTCCATGCCCAAGCCTCTTGGTTCCACACTTTTAATCAATAGCCATATATATATATATATATATATATTTTTTTTTTCCAGAGTCTCACTCTGTTGCCCAGGTTGGAGTGCAGTGGTGCATAATCTGGGCTCACTGCAACCTCCACCTCCTGGGTTCAAGCGATTTTTCTGCCTCACCCTCTTGAGTAGTTGGGACTATGAGCGCTCACCACCACACCTGGCTAATTTTTGTATTTTTAGTAGAGATGGGGTTTCACCATGTTGCCCAGGCTGATCTCGAATTCAGGGTGATCCGCCCGCCTTGGCCTCCCGAAGTGCTGATAAGGGAGAAGACCACCCCTCGTATCGTCGTATGCCCAATTTCTGCCTCCAAAGAAAGTAGTAGTAAAAACTAAAAGGCAGAAGTGAAATCCACAGGCAGACAGCCTGGCGCCGCACCCTGTGCCTGGTAGTTAAAGATTGACCTCTGACAATTGGTTATGTCATCTATAGATTACAGACATTGTATAGAAAAGCACTGTGAAAATCCCTATCCTGTTTTGTTCCGATCTTACTACCAGTGCATACAGCCCTCAGTCACGTACCCCCTGCTTGCTCAGTTGATCACGACCCTCTCACATGCACCCCCTTAGAGTTGTGAGCCCTTAAAAGGGATAGGAATTGCTCACTCCGGGAGCTCGGCTCTTGAGATGGGAGTCTTGCCGACGGCCCCGGCCGAATAAACCCCTTCCTTCTTTAACTAGGTGTCTGAGGAGTTTTGTCTGTGGCTCGTCCTGCTACACTGGGATTACAGGGGTGAGCCACCACACCCGGCCTCATAGCCATACTTCTAACTCTATTTGAGAAACTCTCAAATTAGCAATACCAAGTGTTAGTTGGTTTCTTCCCCTAATGGGGCCACTATTGCTCTTACCACTGTTTATTTTCTTACTACTGTTGTTTGGTCCCTGCATCTTTAACCTCTTCGTAAAATTCGTATCTTCTAGATTAGAAAAATTTCAACTGTAGGTGCCTTTGCGACCTCTATCCTGGGAGACCCTAAAACATACTTAGTTTTAGTGCCTAGAGATTTTCACTCCTCTAACATCTCTGGATACAGTGTCCCTGGATCAACATGAAGAAGTTACAAAAGAATGCCCTCTGACCCTGGCCCCTAAAGAATTTACTTGTGCTAAGTAATAAAATTGCTATTGATCAAAACCTGTGTTCTTGGGAAGAGTCATCTGTTACTATCCAGGTGAATGAACCCTGGGTTTTCTGGTAGGTAACAGGGCCTGAGGGCTGCAGAGCCTGCCTGTGTAAAGGAGATAGATCTACTACTCAGCCCCAACCCATAGCTGGCATGTAAAAATTCAGGCTTGGTGTTGCCAGAGTATCTAAATGATCAAGAAGTCCAGATTTTTTATTTTCAAATATCCAAGTTTTCAGCTGTTGGCAACTGTGGTCTTATGATACATACTGTTTTTGTCTTAGGTTCCTGGCTTACAACTCCCATAGCCCTTGTTACAGTCTTTTGTTATAATGTTGGGTGTGTTAGGCCTTAGGAGCCAGCCTCTGGAAGCAGAATTGCTCTGACCTTCTCTAGTCCTCCTTTCACCGCCCCAAGGCACCACTCTAATCGCCCACCTTTTTGACTGTGGGTCATAAGAGCCTCCCTAGAGAGGGTCTTGCCCTATACCCTGGGGGAAGGAACTGCTGACATCAAGAAGCCTCCATTAAAAACCCTAGAGGACTGGGTTGGGGTTGGGGTGGGTCCAGTCAGTTTCTGGATAGCTGAATATGTAGAAGTACCTGGAGGGTGGGACTCCAGGGAGGACACGGAAACTCCATGGCCTCTTCATCTGCATCCTTTGCAATGTGCTTTATAATAAACCAGTAAATGTAAGTATTTCCCTGAGTTCTGTGAGCTGCTCCAGCAAACTAATCAAACCCAAAGAGGCAGGCGTGGGAACCCAACTTGAAGCCAGTCAGTCCTAAGTTTGGAGACCCAGGCTTGTGTCTGGTATCTGGGAAGGTAAGTGTCAGGGTGGTGGGGACTGAGCCCTCAACCTGTGGGATCTGACACTATCTCCAGGTAGATGGTGTTGGAATTGAATCAGAGGACACCCAGCTGGTGTCCACTGTAGAATTCATTGCTTGCCTGCTGATGGAGAGAAATCCTCACATATTTGGGGGTCACAAGTGTCTGCATTCATTGTTGTATCAGTGTGAGAGCCAAGGAAAAACATGGTTGAAAGTTTCCCGAACCAGCAATTAATTTTTAAAATGCACATTTTAAATTCTGCACAGGTCAAAAAAAAAAAAAAAAAAAACAACTGCAAGCAAGATGCAGCCTGTGGGCTGTCAGTTTCCAAACAATGATTTCCAAAAAACGTGCTTTAATAATTTTTAACAATTTGGGGAGTAACCTTCAGTCACTCAAAGTATATTCAAGTTCTAAGGACCTTACCATTCCACTAATATTTATATATCTTGCCCAATATGAAACCATACAATAATGCTGCTTTAAGGATTTTAAGTAAAAGGTAATTGTTATGCTTTGAAAGACTAAAAACAAGTTCTAATATAAAATTTTTTTTGGATCAGTTCTTAAAGAGCAGCTAAAATATTCCATCAATGTGGCATAAACTTAACGTCACCAGTGACTAGTGCCCTTCTCAAGCTAAAGAGAACATGACTTTCTGCCAAGGAATCTACGAGGAGTCCATTAAGCATGTTAGTTCCAGTTACTTCTTAATGTGCAACCCCAGCATTTTTATTTTTTAGTCACACGGCCGGAACGATAAGACCATTAAGAGTAAGAGCTGCCATAAAACCTCATAAGGCATTTTTAATATGGCCATCAATTTCTGGCAAGACCTAAACAAAGTTAAATGTATAACCAAGCCTGTTAGCTCTGCTATCAAAGGGAACCAAGACAAAAAAATCAATTATTTTGTAAATGACTTACTCTGTAGTGACAGCAGGAGCTAAGGGATCAAACTCCATTACCTCGTAGTAATTAGGTGGCTGGAGATCACTTTTTGTCATCGCTTTAGGCAAAAAAAGAGACCAGTAAACATACATTGTGCTTTTTGAGGAATACATGCAATTGATATTCTTTTTATAATTTAGACTTCAAATATTAGATCCTAATAAACACAACCAAAACAGACTGATGTTCCAATGCTACTCCCAAGTTCAACAAATCTGTATATAACAGAAAGGTTTCCAAACCTCAACTACCTTAGCAGTCAAAACACAATAGTCAGTTTAATACAAGTTTAACACAAGCATTTTTACAGTCTCTCATAGTCAGTCATAATGGTATCTGCCCTGAATTTATTTCATTAGCTTAAAAATACAAAGGAGCACCTCTAATTTCTCCTATTTTCAGTTACCAACGAATCTCTGGCAGACTCATATATTCTCGTAAGTTTCCTTATTTGATGCAAATAATAAGGTCCCATGTACCTGGATGATTGCTGGGCAAAGGTGGCAGACTCTGGTTTGATGGTGCTGCTGCAGTGGTTTGTAGACTAACCGGCTGTAGAAACACTGAATGTGAATGTTCCAGAAACTGAAGAAAGCATAACACATGTTCATATAAACATTCTACATTAAGCTTTTCTTTTATTAGTTAGACTCCTACACTTCCAAGTACATTGTTCCAAGAACCATATACTTTGAACTGGACCAGAACAAGTTGTTTGTAATTATTACTTTAGTATTTTTAGGTAATCATCACTTATGAGATTTACATCGTTTCTGCTGGGCATGGTGGCTCATATGCCCAGATTTCCACATTCTGAGTGAAAATAATCCTAACACTCAGAATGTGGAAATCTCTTGTCCTTTTTTTTGTCTATCTCAGCAATTTGGGAGGATGAGGCGGGAGGATTACTTGAGCCCAGGAGTTCAAGATCAGCCCAGGCAACA